TTCACTTTCTACTATTGGCGACTGCATACTATTTTCGGAAAGTGTTGTTATCCCCAAAAGCCCCACAAAAGCGCGTACCTAGGCAGCTCCATGACGGGCATACTGGGATCAACTGGATGAAGGCGTTTGCTTGTAGGTGTGTAAATAAATAAAAAAAATTGTTATTCTCGACGATGCGAGACACACCTATATCGGCATGACCGGGTATGTGCATAATTCATAGAATGTTTATCACAAGTTGATCAGGAAAATAGCATATCAAATAGGATAAGGACGATTGGGATGACAAGAAGTAGATAATATACGGTTTACTGAGCTGGAACCATGTTGGATGGCTGTTAATTGTTCTTTCACGTATAACGTAGCTGAACAACAGGAAATAGTATGATGGTGAAAATGATGATGCTTTTTCGAAATTCGTGTTCAAGAGTGAGGGCATGTATTCCGGGTGGTAGCTTGTTCCAGACTCTGGCAAGCCTAATGAGGAAAACGTTCGTAGACCTGCTGGTCCTGGACTTGCGTTCCGCCACTGAATTCAGTTTGTTTCGTGTGTTGTAGACTGCTGACTGTATCAATGTCATGTTGAGGTCGGAAACATGTATATTTATGTGCAAGATGTTGAGGAATATGACTAGATTGCGTTTCATGCGCCGTAGCTAGAGCGGCTCAAGGTTGAGCTTATCACATCGTTCAGAATATTCCAGTACCAAGGTGGCGCACTGTAATTGTTCCAGTGTAATGCGACCGCGCTTTTCTGGGCTGCCATACACCATGGAACAATATTCCGAAATCGGTCGAACAACTGATTTGTAATCATGAAGTATTGATTCATGTAGAGAAAAGGCCTGAATACCATACCAATTTTCGGTTCCTTCATGAAGAAATAGAGGGAAGAACTGACCAAACGCTGGCAAAAGTGTGCCGACGTCCAAAAAGCGCCACAGAAAGCGGAGCTGCATTCATGACCAAAAGCCATGAAACCATGATGCCGTGTGTATGTCGACCTCGTTGGACCGATGATCAACGGTCGAAGTTTCCTCATAGTAGTCGATCCTTACAGCAAATGTTCCGAAGTGTTTCTCATTGGTAGTGTTGCAACCAAAGCTGCTGTATCCACACTGTGCCAAATCTTCGGAAGGTTCGGTTGTGCAGACACTTGCAACTGATAACGGCACGCAATTCATTTCACAGAGCTTTACAAGCGTTATGCCGTAAAGCACATTCGATCACTGTCGTTTCACCCACAATCGAATGGCCAGACAGAGAGGTTCGTAGATACGTTCAAGCGAGGTCTTCTCAAATCAATGAGGGATGTTTGGAGGAAATGATGGACAGATTACTTTCCTGCATCGGTCCACCCCAAACATACAAACACCGAATGGTGTGTCCTTAGCAGAAGTACTGGTGAACAGGAGGTTCCGCATATCACTCGATGTCATTCGGCCCGCCCATGAGTCTTCATAAGGCAAAAAGAACCAAAAAATGGAACAAGAATTCAGTCGGCAGAATGGAGTAAGGCAAAGCAAGCGATTACCGTAAAGGTCACGCAGTATGGACTCCGGGAGAGATTAAATGTAAACGTGGAGACGTCATTTATGATGTGCTCAATGCCATGCCGCTCAGAGACGCGGAAGCGAGCCGAACTTGCCGAAATCAAGCAGAGAGGGTCACAGTCAACCGATAGATGCATCCGATAGCCCAGCGCTAGCTCCAACCCAGACGGTGGGCGGAGATACACAGGACATCGTCTGCAACACTGCAAGTTAACCCAAGGTTGTCATCCTACATCGCAGCCATAATCTCAAGAGAAATGTCAAGGAGAGTGAAAGCTCGCGAGAAAATTCATAATTTTAACGGGAAAACAAGTTGAGCCAACGGTGTACAACCGAAGCATCAAGTTGTTACAGGAACGTTAGCGTCCATATGACTTGCCCAACAACCTTCCTATATATATATATATATATATATATGTATATATATATATATATATATATATATATATATATATATATATATATATATATATATATGTTTGGCGGCATCCGGTTTCGGATTTGCCTGTCACTGTGGCCAGACACAGGACGCCTGCGCCTACAGAGGGACCATGGGTGGTTTGCGCTGCACCACCCACAGCTCTATCCACACACCACATATCCAGTGCAAACCCGAAGGAATAAGACCGGGAGGCATGCGAATGGGAGCCAAGTTTCATCAACGGAGCCGGCCCACACTCCTTCACAGGCAAGCACAAGCACGCTGGATTTGGAGAATCAAGTGCACACAAAACGGGCAGGCGCAGGCGTCCTATGGAAGCCACAATGGCAGGCAAATCCGGAACCAGATGTCGCCAACCAGATCATACATGAACAAATGATGCGGATATACAATACTGGCACGACAGATGTCTGTTGTGCGCCATAACCTCCAGCGTTTCAAACCACTGGCAGTCCGAGTGGCGGGGTCCCCATCTTGGAAGGCGAATCGGTTCTATGGATGTTGGGCTTGAGGTTTCCTCCTTCATGCTCCTTCTCCACGTCATGAGTTGCCAACTGCGGTACCTTTTCCAAATGGTTCCGGGGAGCGCAAATAAGGCCCGACGAGGAAGGCGATAGGCTGTGTCGGAGAATAACGTTTTGGAGGCATAGGCTGTTTGCTCCAAGCACTCGGTATCGGACTAATGTATTGCTTACGTTACGTTTCCACCACACACGAGCGATTCTACGCAGACAACGACTGTCAAAAACCGACAATCGCTTCATGTCATCCGAGCGAATAGGCCAGTTCTCACAGCCGTAGAAGAGGACCACAAGGACAGAGACAGTGTACACCCTGCCCTTCAGCTTGAGACTGACATTACGACGACACCATAGATGTTTCAGTCTGATGAGTGCAAGGCGGGTCATTGCGATCCGTTGTGGGACCTGATCTCCAACACCGCCGCCAGCTATGATGCAACTCCCTAGCTAAGTGAAGCAAGGGACTTGTTCCAGGACGTCGCCAGCAATGGTGAGGGTAGATACAGACATCAGCGAATTCTGAATGAATATTTTGCATTTGCCTGGGGTGATATACAGGCCATACTTAGAGGCCTTTCTATTGGATAGCGGAATGGAACTACCGATCATGGCAGCTGACAGCTGTTCTGAAACGGGAACATTTTTGGATTGTCCAATAAATATCCATTGATTTTTATACTACTTGTATCCGTTTCGGTAGTTGGTTCTGCAACACGCTTTTCGTCTCCATGTGCGGCCGGCATTCGGAGCTGGCAGAAAACGAGTTCAGTTCAATCGGAATCGCATACCAAGTGCCAGAGTATAATAATATCGCTCTTGTATTTGTTTCAGCAAATCGGAGTCATAACTGTTCCATCTGCTTATTTAATTTTATCTTCATTACGCTTGAGTTGTGATCACATATTTATTTATATTTATTTATCATTTATTTATATTATATGTATATTATATTTATTATCATCATTATTACGACTATGTTTGTGACATGTGACAAGGGAATTGCATTCACCGCACCTTAGTACGCAGAGTAGTTGACATACTAAGCTGTTCACCTTATGGACACCCACAAATTGTGAACATGGCAATGAGCGATTCGAAGAAGCGACCCAACAACTGCAGATGTCCCGTGGCCTCTTCGCTGTGCTGCTACTTCCCAGGTACAGAGCTTATGACACAGTAGCTCTTTCTCGTTTCAATTTCCATCCTCATCAATGTGGCTGTGAGATTGGTAGTTGCATTCGATCGCAACTTTGGTATCTCTTACGATTGTTGAAAAGACGGCAGTAGTTGTAGGTGTGGTGAACGATTAGGCAGAACACTGAGGGGATGTTACACGCGTCAGTTTTCTTCGGCTACCAGACATGCAACCCCGCGAGTCACGGTGTTGTTTACTCAGGAATCCAAAGGACACCACTCGAAGCTGGAACTTAGTGGCGTATTTGTTTTCATCCCTAGACCAGATATCCCATGCTTGAGTTGTTTAAGTGAAGTTGATTATGACACGGAAGAGTAGAATCCGCAATGATATCACCTTATTTTCGCACAAAATAAGCGACTGCTTTCTATCGAACAGTGTTGGCAAATCGTACTATTCTTGATCTTGAATGTTTGCTTAGGGCAGAAGGTTTGCAACTGGTCTCTCCTCCCCCCCCCCCTAATATTCTTATCTGTGGGGCCATCAAGACTGCAGTAGAGAGACCTTAGAATAAAGTACTGGTGGGCTGGCATTGGATGCATTGGTGATGAACTCGGCTCATAGTATGACTTAGTGAGCAATTCAACCCGCCAGGTTGACACTTCATTTGATCATATGACCGCGTTTTTTTTAAATTCACAATGTGAACTCGACCGCATGGTAGGTTCGAGGACTCTAGAGAAACAGCGTGCTTTTTTTATTACCGTCTCGCAGTGCTTTCGAGCAGCGCGATCTAACTTGTCATTGTTTTGGTTTCGACAGTCATTCATACAACTGCCTGCGTACTCTTACGTGTCCTGCCTTCACCACCTCCTCAATCTGTTCGTTCGTATCCTATCCATCCAGCGGTGTTCCACCTAGAGTTGATTCGTGTGTATTCCATCGTTCCTCAATATGCAACTGGACATCCAGAGATGAGGATATCATTGAGACCAGTTTGTATTTTGTCGGTAAATTGAGCATCAAAATTCTGCGGCGACCTATACGTTACTCTGAACGCTTACAGAGTTAATTACTACCTACAAGAAGGCAAAAGGTTACGACCAACTGAGTTGGAAACCTTCGTGATTCGGACCCCAAGCAGCTGGGTTGCTAATTCAAATGCATTGCAGTGTGAAACGCATCCACACACAAGTGCACAGAAACAGAAACATTAAAACAAGTTATCGGACATGATCCAAAGCAAGTGGATGTCACGTACGTAAATAAAAGCCAAATGGCAAGCGTTACCACTGAGCTACACTACATGCGATAAGTTGTCAGAGAAGAAAAAGAACACAAAAACTTGCCGTTTTCGGCGTCTAGTTGTAACTGCGCCGACACATTCGCATTCCTACCAGCACCGGTGCGCTCGGTGATGAAGAGATCGCTAGCATTTGGTAGACTACGGTACAGTTGGAAGTCCAGTTTGGAACAATCGGCTTCGCTTAGCACCAGTGCTTTTGAGTTAGTGTCCACGCCGGCAATGGGGCCACTTTCATGAGATGTGAATTCGGAAAGCGAGCCATTGTAGCACAGAGTAACAGGAAAGTTTGAGATCGAGAAGGAAGTGTGATTGAGTCCATCTGACAGCTGCGAACAAAGAATGAGAGAAGTACAGGCTAAAGTGTTTGATAAAGGTGTCGATGTTCCTGATTATGAATCCTGAAGGCGGAACAGAGCGAAGATGATAACTCCCAGAGGACATCTGGCTCAACGCACAGAGTTCAGCTCAGTAAATTAATCAATCTTATAACGACGTGTTTTGACTTAAGTTGCCAAAAATAACGGTACTAATAATTCAAGAGTAGTGGACAAGAGAACGGATGAAAGAAAGCGCTGATTTCGTGGCAGCGATATCCTCAGGAATATCCAACCAGTGATGTGACCAATCCCCAGGACCCACATTTACCGACCTGGCTCAAAGCTGTGGTGACTTGTAAAAATTTGGGTGTTGCTCTTCCCAACACGGGCACATCACGACCGCGGTTTCGTCCTGGTTTGGACTCATCAGATGGAGATAGCCTGAGCTGGGGTGGAACTCAGCGCCTAGTAGTTCACGGCTGACGCCCTGAACACTATGCTACTGAGATCCGCGAGCAAGGCTTGGCACAGTGGAAAGCAATTCAAAGTTGAATTTAGGGAAAAACGCTGTGTGGTTGGGTTGTGACTCGCAATCTCTGTTGAGGTGACTTTATTATAAAATTCTGCAAGACACACCGCGTGCATCGATTGGGATAGGCAATCTCGATTGAGGCCACGGTTTGCTTTGTGAAACAAACATCTGCCATCCCGATCACCAGGACCGCATCCGAAGTGAGGAGTTCCGGAGGTACGAAGCTCTGCTGTGGTGCGCTACTTCAATGTTGCCATTTCGGGCCCTTATCCGAATGGGTAGCAGGAAACACTAGATGTCAAGTTTACCAACACAGTACCATACAGAGCACAAAACAGGTCACCTTGGGGAATCAAAATAAACGCATAATCCAACGAAACCCGGAGGTTGTTGCAAAATGCCACATGAAGAATTTCCGTATTACTCATTCGGGCATCCCACCAATAATGAGCAATGCCTCCCACGCAACCGTTATAAAACAGTCTGTATCCTAACATCCTCAGGACGAAGTAGAGAGGTCTTTGATCCTCACAGCAGCATCACAGAATTGCAAAGCTATCCCATAGACAGCAATCTTACATCCCGCCGTCACTATAAGTGGTCTAGGCTTTGAGAAGTCACACGAAGGTCCATGAAATATGTGAGTGAACTCTTCGGTGATGTGACAGCTGTCCAGATAAGCTTACCGAATAACAATATATGGATGGCTGACTTGCCGAACTACATACTAGTAGTCCCAGCTGGATAACTCGGAAACAGCCCGTTGCAGCGATCAGTTCGGCAGCAGTGCTCTAGGACGTGGTGGGTTTTCGCTTGCTAAGTGATCCACTATAAAAGCCACATATATCCAAGTAACAACAGGATAATGTGGTTGAGGTAACTGCCACCAAATAGTCAACGCATCGTGTTTGCTCTCGGTGGAACATTGTATCCCAGCATTCTTGATAAAATTGTGGGGATGATTGGACCCGCGTTTCGCGAAAAACCGTATAGAGGCCGTACTAGTTAAACAATCAGTCACCAGCTCCCAATGGACACTATTCCCTGGTTTCGCTGTGTTGCCATAGGAGTAGATTAATAAGCTAAAGGGTCGGGATGGTGTCCATTAAGTCAAGGACCTACTACTTCTGTTTAGGAAACTGGATAGTATTGCGTTCTCTGGAAAAATGTGTTGTGTCCATGAATATCACTCATTTTAAGTGTAAAATGGGGGTGAGAAAAACCTTAGCCGATGTGCCGCAATGAAGTGCAGTAAAGTATCCGAAATAATAAGGTAGAGAAAAATAATACTCTGCTGTTATTATTTTTATGCGCAGAGAGTAAGACCGCGGTTAGAGGAGGATACTAAGGGAGAAAGAATAAAACTCACATCATCAGCTGTGCGTCGTAACGGCGTTTCGTTGCCCAGCGACCACCACCAACTGCGCGAGGCCTCAGTATACCGCAAGGACGCCCGCCCCTACACGGATTGGAGTCGGTGACCTCATGATTGCAAGCCAGGCGTGCAGACCACTCGGCCACCGGTCGACTCACAACACAAACGCCACTGATGTCGGCACTCTGCCATGTTAACTAGTGTTCATTGCCCTTAAGACCCAAGCATGGTAATCGGAAGACACCAACCGACGATAACAACAAAGTGAGAGTTTCATTCCTGTTGACCAAGTTATTGCATGACCTCTCGTTCCATCCAGACCCCAAGCAAGCAAACGAACGCCGAGGAAGTCCGTGAGCAGGCATGCGCAAGAAATGGCCTAGCCATCAGAGCGTGGTGCGTGAGATAATGCTGCTGAGCGGTTCACTCGCTCTTGCTACACCATATACGCGATGCGGAACACGCTCATTGCTCACGCAGTGTTCCCACCAGACATGAGCCAAACTACGAACACATCGATGGTCCGACGAAACTTGCCCCTCAGCCCTGAAGGGCCGGGTTTCGCAACCGTACTAGAGGGTTGAACGCACGGATGCATTTTAAAATTGCCGTCCAGTCATCATCGCCCTTCATCATTATACACGTTAGTCAGAGGCGCGAAACACTTCAGATACTGTGCCGCAATACATAGCAGAAAAAAAATGCAACAGGAGCAAGCCAGCTGAGCTACCGGTAAAGAATGCGCATCGTTCCGGTAAGCTACCAGCCGGCTATTAGGTAGCAAAAAAATTACTATGCAAAATAATATAAGGCTACATAGTGAGATTGTGGTTGCAGGGGGAGGCTGAGGGATGGGTGGGAGAAAGAAACTCACAGCACGAACGTCACTGAGGTCGGCTCCTAGACACAGCAACAAGTGTATCCAGCCAAACGTGTTCACCGTCTTTCGGACCCAAACAAGGGAGCCGAGACGCTCAAACCAATGCCAGTGATGGCCTTCTTTCCTCTCGACTAAGTCATCGCTTGGCCACCCCTCCTCTTCTTCCATCCACACCCCCGGTGAGCAAACAACGCACGTCGCGGGAGTCGGTGGGTTGACATGCGTAACACATGGCCGAGCCATCGGAACCTGTTGCGTGAAATGACGGTGCTGAGCGGTTCATTTCCCTTTCATGTGCCGCGAACAAGGCGTCGAACACGCTCGTTCCTCACGCGATGTTCCCACCAGATGTGAGCTAAATTGCGAAGACACCGATGGTCGAACGTAACTAGCCTCTTTATATCCGTTGATCTAAAAGGTCGGGTTTCACAACCGTACGGTAAGATCGAACGTACCACCGCATTGCACACTCTACCCTTCAGGAAGAAAGTGATGTCGCGCCGGCGCCATAAGTGGGGAAGTTTAGCAAAAACGTCTAGAGCTTTTGCTATACGGTTCGTGATCTCATCTTCAATCCCACGGGCACTGATACAACTTCCCAGATAGTTGAATTTCCGAACGACTAGCTGATCCCCACCAACGCTCAGTGTAGGATGCGGTCCCAGGCCAACCTTGGAGAAACGCTTTGCACTTCGATGGTGCAAAGCAAAGTCCGAAGCGGCTGACAACCAGCGATAACCCGTCCAGTGCCGCTTGGCACGTCTGGGAGCTGTCACAGATGAGGTCAATATCATCAGCATACTCTAAATCAAGAATTCGTTCTTCTGGGAGTAGCTCCACACATTCTAAGTCATGCCTTGTAAATGCAATCTCCATGGCTTTGTCAATAGCGAAGTTGAAGAGGAAAGGTGACAGCGGGCATCCTTGTCTCACACCGCTGGAGATATTAAAGGGCGACGACAGCTTGCCGTAAGCCCTCACTCTGCCTGAGCTACGCGCGTATAATAATCGGATAATATTTACATATTTCTCAAGTACACCTTTACTGAGTAGACAGTCCCAAAGTGCATGTCTATTCACCGAATCGAATGCACCTTTGATATCGAGGAACACGACAACGGTGGGCCGCCGATATATGTGATGGTGCTCCAACAAGTGACGCAAAGTGAAGATGTGGTCGATGCAGCCAAGATCCCGACAGAATCCGGCTTGCTCTTCACGGATATGGAGTTCACGAGTTGCAGTCAGTCTGTGAACGATGACAGAGACAATCAATTTGGAGGCGATGGAGATCAGACTGATTCCTCTATGGTTGCCGCATTCCGATCGTGAGCCTCCCTTGAAAATTGGGACTATGACGGAGCGGCTCCAGTCGGTTGGGACAGTTTCCTGCTCCCACAGTTTCACTAATAACTCGTGTAAATCATCCACAAGAGCAGGTCCCCGAATTTGATGAGGGCTGGGAGATCATCTGGTCTCGCGGCTTTGTTCAACTTCAACAGTCCGATCTCACGTTCGACTTCTGAGTGAGAGGGTGCATCCAAAGGGATAGCCCACGGAGCGGGGCGATCAGTGACCGGCGAGAAATCTAACAATTTCGACCGACTAAATTGTCTTTCAGAGTGCTCAGCCCAACGCTCCAAGCGTTTTGACAAGTTGTGGATAGGCCGTCCACTCTGGTCACAAATTGTTTCACTAACACCAGGTCTTCTGCTGCCCGATTCCCGTATCAGCCTGAATAACTTACGATGGTTACCAAAAGCAGCGGCCATTTCCATCTCTGATGCATGATGTGACCACCAACATTCGCGGTCTCTCTTCAGGCTAGCACGGAGTTTTGCCCGGAGCTCTTTGCGAGTTTCATTGTGTTCGCTTCCAGCCGGAATATGTCGGCGAGCATCTATAAGTTCCAGAGACTGCGAAAAGACCCAATTTCCATGTTGGCGATTAGACTTACTACATGAGGATTCGCCTGCTGCCAGTAAAGACTGGTGAATATGAGACCAGTGAGCTTCAACTGCATCCAGTGAGCACTTACTCAACGTACTTTGATAGGCATTCAGAACAGCTGGCTTCACCAGTTGACTGGTGTCAATGCGCTCGCGGCTAGTGATTGGAATCCAATCAACCAGAGTAGCTTCAGCCCGGTGACTCAGAACAATGTCAACACCGGCTTGGCCGGTGCTCGAAGCTGCATCGTCACCGGATAGGCGCAATGAGAA